TATCAACAGATGGCCAACAGATTCTTCTATAGATATTACAACTCGAACTAAAATGTTGTAAAAAGTAAAGACGATTAAAGTCATGATGGATTGTAAAAAAAATTAGCAAAATTTTTATACAGGAAATAATTAAATCAACTATAAGAAATTCTTAATAAGCATATGAGTAGTATGTGGCTGAATGGCAATTAATTTTTTGTTTAAATAATAGTATTATAAGAAAGTTTTAATTTTGAATGTATGTAACCTTCTTGCCTGAACTGGAACCTGACCTATGTAAGGAAGTATGTCACCCTAGAAATAAAAAAAACTCCTTACCGACCATGGCTGTAATGGGAAGAAAAAACGCCCGAGGGATTTATTAGGGGTATTATAGTCAAGTTAGCCACCATGCAGTCATAGTGTTTGCGAGCAAGTGGCTATCGATATTTCTTTTGTGTAAAAAAAATGTACAGAGTTCTTAGGTTTTCGCGATTGCTAAACACGTATAAATTTTTTTCGTAAAACGTATATAGTTCTTTCAAAAAAAAACAATTTTCGGACTCTTTACAGGTCTAATGGTCAAAGCTGACTGAGATGGTAAAGTAACTATCTATGTGTAGTGCTATTACTGTTTGTTGAAAAAACAAAACAAATATACGTGATTTAAATTCGAGGAAACCAGTTTTAAGTCCAAAATCTGCAATCGATAAAAATGTAAGTCAATACCAACACAGTGTAATCCAATTTTAGGACGTATTTATGTACATATACATAATGTTTCTTTATGTCGTGGTGTACCAGTACGTTTGCGTTGTTTTATTTATGAAATCTTGCTTCTGGTTCTCGTGGAGTGATCTGTGACAACAATAATATTTATACGTATAAAATAAAAACCAAAAACATTTGATTCCTTACAAAGTCAATCCTTTGTAGATTAATATGTTAATTCGCTCTGCATTAGATTTATCTGCGAGAGACAATGAAATGCTCGCATACTGAGACGTCTGGCGTAGAAAGAATTCCCATTACCAGAGCTCGGCTGCGGAAGGAATTTCAACCATTGTTTAATGAAAGAAACCTCTTCAATTTCGTTTTGAGGAGCTCTAAATTGAATTAAATGTCGATGATCTCGCGAGTCTTTACGCTGAAGGAGTTTTGCGGGATTTTCATAATGAATGCGTCAATCTGATTGTTGTTTCGCATATAACTAAGGCAAATATAAAACGCTGGAAGACATTATGCAAAACGCACAGCAAAAGTATACTCGATGGTACAACTTGCGGATACCAAGGGACAGATAAGACACGTTCCTTAACACGCTATTGCTGGACACTTCCAAGAAAATATTATGTTAAGTGTTTTGAGTACAATTCACATTAATTATCTGGTCTCAAAATAGGGAATTCCCTGTATTATGAGTATCAGATCAAAGCAATTCACATTGGAGGGGTCATCTGTATAGAATTTGGAACTTTTGGTATAATCAAGATTATACGTCAAAACTGCTTTCATCGCATTGAATTACAATTATATGGACGTCGGGTCCGCGCTAAAAAGTGTCCGCACTTATAGGGCGTTAAAATCGTATACAGAGCGTCATTCACGCTTTAGTCTTCGTTTGTTCGACTGACAACGAAGCAACCAAAATTAGACAGTACTGCGATGACATTACAATTTAAATTCAACGTTTTAGCTTTTTCATATTCCTTTACATGTCACTACGTTTAAATAGGTTGACTTGGGACATTTTTTTCGTGGTTTTTGAATTAGACCCGTCGTCTATTTATTTGTAAGTCAATGGTATTATGTGAAATTTCATAACCTTCCTATTTAAGCATAAAAAAAATTATCGATTGATTTCGTTCTTTGAATCTTTCTCCTGAAAAGTTGGTTGTAGATATGGCCAAGTCTGCGAATTGCTAAACTTCCTGAGGGCTAATTACCAGTGTAGTTACTATTAATCTTTGTATTCCAGTTACGACATTAACAGAATGTTAGCTTCAGAGTAGCTTAATTTAAAAAAAAAACTAGCACGTGGCTGTCGAAGTTTCCAACCATTGAACGAAATCGCGGATACGTCAGGAATTTAATTTCGGGACACATTTGAGCGGTGTCAACAGTCGAAGCAGAGAAAGTAAACACTCTTGGGGCAATCGTGATCTATTCCATTCGATTTGTTTGTTCGCGCTGAATTGGTTACGTAGCAATAGAAGAAACGTGACGTTTTAACAATCTCAATTTTTGGCGCTTCTTAAAGCATTGAAACTGACATTTGAAAACGGGAATAAACGCGATATAACAAATTTAATAGATATTTTCACACCTAACTGTTAGCCCGACGTTTCAGCCAGGTTGCACTGGCTGTGGTCACGGGCTGATACGGTGTTACGTCTCCGTTTCGGCGATGGAACATTCATCGCTATACTTTTTTTCATTTCTTAAAGCTTGTAGGGGAATTGAGCTATATTTTATTTAAGAGCCATAGTACAACTCTCTATACGTGATGAAGTAGCGAAATTATACTCTTAAAGACGCGGGTCATTAGACTCATTTTCCTTTCTGTTGGAAACAGTCTCATACCTTCTATTCGTTTTTTATTATAGTGACCTCCTTACCCAACCTTTTGGTCAAACGGGCGGGGTACTATTACCCGTGCAAGTAAGCCTGCACAGGGATATTATAGGTCTGGCCCTGACTCCAGATCAGCCTGTTGTCACAAACTTCTTCCGGTTCTCAAAAGCTTTGTGTAAGCGCCCTCGGGTGCATGTACAGCACCCTCCTTATTGTCTATTTAAATATCTGAGTTGTTAGCTCGCTCAGTCCCTTTGCATTGCACAAATAGCGATTGCCACCGCTAGGCCGTTCACTCTCAAGTTTTTGTTAGATACGGTTGAGATAGTGTTTGGAAGGCAAATTCCCGGCATGCCGATAACGGAGGAAGGGGTGATGAAGTCTCCCCCAGAGACGGTCCACAGTGGCGGACAACCGCAGACGGAGCCGTGGATCGTAAATCACGTGGCCATAGCTCTATCCCATGCAGAGTGGGAATACCCGCCTCCTCATGACGCGGTGGTATCAATGACGGATTTTCCCCCCAAAAAAAGGGTGTAAACTGCCTGTAACTTTGAAAAGTTTATTGATTAAAACCGTTTTTTCCAACATATATAATTCGTCAGATAAACGAGAAAAAACGATGTATTGATGGTTTTAGGGCACTTTCGTTGAGTGTGTCCCGATCCTTCGACCATGGAACTTTTTCAATAACGACCTTGTCACTCTTTAAAGACAAGGCTTTGGCGGGTTGATGGGGAGCGGCACTTTCGAAAGTCTTTACAAGAGCAATTTAATGTACCATTATTTTCGCGCCTCTATTGTTCATCATAATTATGTACGGCAACAGTTACACGGCATTAAGCCTGGTAATCTGTTTACTTTACAGCAATGGTCCTTCACGTGAGTTTGCGAATTAGCTTAGTAATAATAATTATAATAATAATAGAGACACCTATAACCCATAACCTAACTGGGTGACGAAATACTTTCATAGATTTCTCGTAGATGGCGCTACGGCTAAAAGTCGTTTAAAATCAAATACAAAGATCCGACTAACAAGCACATGAAAAGATTCGTGAGGTCCGCTGGTTTGTTCCGTGGCTTAGTTGGTATAGCTTCTAGCACGGTTTGCTAGAAGACGTCGGCTCGAATCCGGCCGGATCGAAGGAATTTTTTCTGAGTGTTCGATCTTTGTATTAATAATTATAACAAACTAGTGGAGCAATTTCACAAAAAAATATTGAATAGCAATTCAATACAAATTTAAATAATAAAGAGCTTTATTGATCTACATTGAAATAACAACAATTTAGCCTTAAATATTGTAATCTAAAGTTACGCATGTAGATAAAAAGGTAAGAGACTCGGCTAGAGCTGTTTTTCAGAATGTACCTCTTTGATGTTACTCGCTACGTTTTATATTAGTAATAGTATGACGCATTCAGAGTAGCTCCAATAAAATTGTCACTAAAATATCCACAACTTAAACATTTAACTATGATCATCATAATGGTACACGAGTCATATGAAATATTCGAGTATATTCTAAATACTCTTAATTTAAAGTTTAGATAGCGATGAACCCACACACATAAATAAAAATAAAGAATAGTAAAATATTGTAAATAAAATAAATTGAATAAAAACTATGATTAAATTAATAAATAAAAACTGAATGATGAAGGTACATCCAATTATTTTCCGATTGTTGCTTTGAAAGTAACCAAAATCTGCATTTGTTTTTGAAAGTACAAGACGATTTTAAGTTCTTTATTGAACGAGGCAAATCATTTCAACACTTCGTGATAGTTTTTCGGTATTTAAATTTATTTCTTGTACTTTTTACTCTAATTTTAGTAACAGTAGAGCTTGTGAAAGAGTTGGTCCAGGGACGTACACCACGCCACCTTATCTATTTCTCCCGTAAGCAATAATGTGAGCATTAGTGCATTCCGGTTTAGAAGGGCAAGAATGCTGGTGAAAGTACAGGCATATGAGAGTTGTCAACTTATGTCTCAGGGTGACGGGCATAGTCGCAGTACCCCTAAGATCTTTGCGATTTAAAGCTATGTGTGCCACTGCAACTGTTTTGGATAGGCATATTGTTTACCACCAGGCGCACGACTTGTTCAACCCGTCACTTGATATTATAAAAAAAATAAAAATAAATTTTATGTTCTAAAGTTTTGTTCTGCATTTAAACGTCTCGTTTATTATAATAATAAATTCTTTATTAACGTCGTTTTTGCCGTCATTACAAGTTTCTTACCATTTTTGAAATCGAAATTCAACTCTATGACTGAGATAGTATAGAATGCGAAGTCCAGCTGTTCATTTACCTTTTAAACGACGTGTAATTCTGGTTCAATAATAAAAAAAACCTGAAATTTATGAACCATCTTTTTTTTTATTATTATTATTTGTTTTTTCTTCCTTATAATATAACACATTGTCTTTTGTTTCAGGTGTACAGATAGCATATTTTGCAATAATAGGAACACAAATGTTTATGATCGTCCTCAGTCTATTTCTATTCTACGGGATATATAAAGTAAGTATAGTTCATAAGTATAAGGAAAAAATTATATCACGTAACAATACAACACAAATACTCTTGATTGAAGACACACATACCAGAACAAAATACACCAATAAACAAGCACGAGATAAATGACAGGTCATCTAGGCGACCTAATATTAGATTTCTCTCTTACACAGTTGCACATTAATTAGAATGCGCGATACATTTTGTTTTGTTTGATTTTTATATTAAAGATAATTTTTTTCCCAAGAGATTGTTTTAGATCTACCCAGAAGGATACAATAAATTCTTCAGTAGACATGCCGACTTTGTGAAAGTATAAATTGACCTTCCGATAATGTGGGTTGGGATAATTTGCCTCCGTCACCTTATGGCCTAAGCAAATATTTTGAGTACAGTATGGAATCTTGAACACGCATATTTCTGACGGTCCCTACATAACTCTATAAGCTTAAGTGCTGTTACACACGGGGCGCATTTTAGCAGCGCGTCTGCTGCGATTCGCGATGCAGCGTCTATCTTTGCACACACGCGCTACTTAAGAAGCGATACAATCGCTATACAAACACTATGCGATTTTATTTAATTAATTAATTAAATTTATTAATCGAGTTCTTAGGTTTTCGCGATTGTTACACATAGGAAATGAAATTATTTTTCCGTATTTAAATCGCGTATGTTTGTTTTTTCAAACAAACCATTGTTTCGGGTCCTTTACAGGTTCCATGGTCATGGTTGAAAGTCAATCGTAACGAAACGTTGGTTTGTTTGAAAAAACAAATATACGCGATTTAATTCCGGAAAAATAGTTTCATTTCCTATTCATTTTTTTTATTTTTTATTTCACTTATAAATACACATTCAATAAAACAAAACAATGTACGGACAACGGCACACCAGACTGCACATTTTTGTTCGAAAATCGCCTCCAGTGCAACGGAACAAGATACGTCAATGTGTAGCTTGATGTGCTGGCGTGTGTACGTAGACCTGACAGTACGTGGTACAGACAAAATCTGAATTTTGAAGACAAAATCGATTGCATCGTTGCAGTAGCGCGTTGGATCGATTTAATTGTGCCTGTGAAACGCAAGAGTCGCGATGCAATCGCGCATTTCACGGACGCGCGATTGTATCGCTGCTGAAATCGCCGTGTATAACTGCTCAAGTATTTTATATTCAGAGTCGAAGTCAGTTTTTCTAAGAGGGACATTGACAGTGTTCAAGAATTTTTCCATTTAGCCAGATTTTTTATTATACCTTCTTTGCGTCTTTTTCATATTTTGCTTTGTAGTAACGAGTTTTGTATAAAAAGATGAATGTATTGTGATCTAAATTTTTAGGACTGGTAGCTATAAAGGCACTTAACTGGGAGACGAAATATTTTCATAGATTTCTCATAGATGGCGCCACGGCTAAAAAGTAGTTGAAAATCAAATCCAAAGATCCGACTAACACGCACATGAAAAGATTCGTGAGGTCCGCTGGTTTGTTCCGTGGCTTAGTTGGCATAGCGTCTAGCACGGTTAGCCAGAATACGTCGGTTCGAATCCGGCCGGACCGAAGGAACTTTTTCTAAGTGTTCGATCTTTGTATTAATAATTATAACAAATTAGTGGAGTAATTTTCCAAAAAATAATTGAATGTCAATTCAATACTAATTTAATTAAAAGCTGATAGCGACATCTCTAGCCACGCGACTACGCTCGCATTAATGCGCTGGGATCACAGTTTTGTCGGCGTCTGACGCCTGACGGCGCCCAAGTGACGCGCGTAAACGCGCGTCGCCGCTCGCTTCCATATTTGCAAAACACAAATTTGTACCTTAATCATTGGAAAATATAGATGAATATGCTATAAGCGAAAAACATGACGCGTTGCGACGCTTCGGCTCCGCGCCAGTGTGAGTTGACCTAACTGGGTGACTAAATACTTTCCTATATCTCATAGATGGCGCTACGGCTAAAAAGTCGTTTAAAACCAAATACAAAGTTCAGATAAACAAGCACATGGAAAAATTCGTAAGGTCCGCTGGTTCGTTCCGTGGCTTAGTTGGTATAGCGTCTGGCACAGTTTGCTAGAGGACGTCGATTCAAATCCGGCCGGATCGAAGGAATTTTTTCTACGTGTTTGATCTTTGTTTTAATAATTATAATAAACTAGTAATTTTGCAAAAAAGAATTAATTATCAATTCAATACAAATTTAAATCTTATCATAATTGCAATATAAACTCAATGGAGTCTCGACGGATGGACGGTTGTGGTCTTATTATATACGAGCCCTGTACCCCACCGTAGGTGACATTATTAAACACCTATAGAGACCCCACATGACGATTTTCAATCCAATTAGAGCAAATTTTCATTCTAAAAAATACTTCTATATCAGCCATGAAAAATGGCGATAAACTAATGTTGATCACAAATTATTATCAAGCACTCCTAGAGACACATGACAACTTTCAAAGGGATCAGAACATTTTTTTTTCTACTGCCAACAAATGCTTGTATGGCGGCCATATTTGAAAATGGCGAAAAATCAATTTCGGCGCAAATTATTATCTGGCACTTCTAGAGGCCTCCACATGTCAATTTTTAGCTGAAACAGAGCGAATCTCTTTCAAAAGCTACTTTTAACGAAAAAAACACTTATATGGCCGCAATATTAAAAAAAGGCGAAAAAAACTTTTGATCCCAAATTATGATCAAGGACTCCTAAAAACCCCCGCATGCCAATTTTCAGCCGCATCGAAGCAAGTTTTTTTCGGCCGCCATTTTGAAATCGCCATCTTGAATTTTCTTAACCCAGGCAGTTGTGTTACCCTCTATTACCTTCCTTCGTGCACCTCCTATCTATCTCGAATAGTTTCCGTGACAGAAGGCTTCGAAATTAGTATGGCGGCCTTCTTGCTTATTTGAGTTTCGAACATTTTTTACTTTCTGCGGAAATTGACCAAGGCGTATCTCATAAAAGTGCACAAAAATCCCGCCCATATATATTATAGTTCTTGCAGGATGTTGATCACTCGTTTACATTTCTTAGATTTGATTCTTTGACTTAGAGCCTATCCGCGTACAACGGTATAAATATCTTTGTTTCCACCATATCGGGAAGTATGCGTTCTATTTTTCTAAGTGAGTCATTTGTAGCTATAAATACAGGCTGTATATTTGAAAGTGAGACATATTCATACATGTCATGGTAAATCATGTTACAACTTAACATAGACTAAAATAAAATTAGGATATCGAATAGAACAAAAAATAAATCAACAAATGTGTTTTGGAGTGTATAAACCGATTCCCTTTACGCTTGATTTCGAGTGCAATGGGAATACTACCAAGCGAGCGCCGAGTGAGACAGCAACAATAACGATAATTTCACATCTTCCTTTCTACTTTTCGCGGGCTTAGGACCGACAAAGCACCTCATTTCTCTGGAAAATAAAAACGAAGTTACTCACCTATTCATTTATGATATGATGGAAAAAGCTGTTATGAAAATGATTACGTTTTAACTTATGTTAATTATTTTTTACTTGAACTATCATCGAAATGTTTTAAGTACTAAAAAAGATAAGTTTATGATTTAGTAACTAGTTGACATTTAATAAGAATTGAGGTTTTTGGCGTAGTTAAAAATGTGAAATCAAGTTATTTACACTGATTGATATTTTAGTTATTTAGTTTATTTACACTTACGTGGTACGGAGCAAGTGTTTAAAATGTTCACCGTTTTCTACAATGCATAGTCTAGCACGGCATAGCAAATTTTGTTTTAAATTGTTCAACACAAACACCTTTTGTCTGACAGTATAAAATGCTGAGATAATCCTCTCACGCAACATTTCGACACTGTTCACCTCTTCCGTGTGAACTCCGATTTGGGAACATTTCAATAGCTTGCTTCAAACCATCACCACTTATTGCGTAAAGTTGCACTATTTCAGTCAATTCGACGTTAGAATAAATATCCATTTTGCGGTGATCGGCCGAGCGGAAGTACAAATAATTTACGTGTCTTCGTTAGACCAAGGTCGCGCGTGCACTGTCCTCTGCAAACAGCACTTTCGCGTATGCGCCCACGCCCCCACCCCCGACCTGTGCTTTGTTTTTCGCCGCCGTGCCAGAGAACAAAGCCATGCCGCCGCCCGTCCGCCGCTGCGTCTGAGCAATAATAGTGATGTGCATAGATTTCGATAACTAATGTTGTTCACAAGTAGTAGTCGATAAAAATATACATATATATTTTTTATAAAGTTTAAGTTCATTAGTTTATTATTTCTTTCAGAATCAGGAATATAACGCACTCTATAAGTATGTCTCACTTTCAAACATACAACCTGTATATAATAGGGTGTGAAATGTACTAACCCATCGACAATAGATACATTGTCAACTCGAAGTCTAATAATAGCTTTTTGTTTACAGGAAAACGTTGCCTTCTTAGTACCGTGGGTGGTGGGGTGTATGACGTTCATGGCGCTCGAGGCAATGGCCATGGTTTACTCAAACATACTTAGAGATCACGTAAACAAGGTAAATATCAATTTAATAAGTTAATTGATTACTGCTTCACAAATCTTCCACCTTACCATGACTAGAATACTAGAATTATTAGCAGTAAAGCTTCTCGTAAAAGAGGAAGTATCTATCTGTCTATCACCTTATCTATTTGTGACGTCAAGCAGTAATGTGTGCATTAGTGCATTTCGATTTTGAAGATGCTGGTGAAATTAACCATACATTTCAATAGCAATATCAGGTACACACAGTATTTGTAAAAACCATAACTGGTTTGACTCAAAGCTCGTGAGTTCATCTCTAAACAGATACAAAATTTCTACATTCTAAAAAATTAAGCTACACTAATAATTAAGCTAAAGCAATAAGTAGATATTTCATTAAAAACAGTTAAACTAATTATTACACCGAAGCTACACAGTAGCAGGGCCCCTCAGATCTTTGCGATTTAAAGCTCTAAGCAGCACTATTATGCACAGGCGTGTCACTTACCATCAGACGTATGGCTTGTTCGTCCCGTCACTAGGTATGACAAAACAATCCTATCAACCATTTTGTGGGAGAAGTATGCTCTTCCTATTTATCCCAGTGGTCCTTTCTAACTGACTTCAAATAAAGGAGGAGGTTGACAACTGTATTTTTTGTGTGTATCTCGTAACAAACATTACTCCAGTATTTGTAAACCAATTTTGGTGATTCTTTTTTGTTGGAAAAATTCCACTTTTAAGGGTGGCAAACTAGGGGATGAATCCAGTTTCGCGCACTTTCTGGTAATAGATTGTTAACTTTTTAGTTTTAATTTGTACGTACATATAAGCAAGTTAGAAGTCGGTTCCTGTTTTTAATAAAAATTATAGTTATGTCTTTTTCCAGAGAGAGTAGTTACATTTAGGCCTTCGTTGTTATCCGAGAGGTACTCCTGTGGTTTGTAGCGGTCTTTAAATTTTTCCCCAGGTCTCTGTCATTGTCGCTCTTTGACGACCTTGGTGGCTAAAAGTTTACATTATGGACGCAGGATGCGGAGGTCCTGAGTTCAATTCTCGGTAGGACCGATTTGGAAAATGAACTGTTCTAAATTGGTTCTGATCTGGGTGTTCTGAAAAGTACCACAGAGTGAATTCCTTTGCTCTGGTACTCATAGTACAGGAAGTTTCTTAATTTAAGTCTAGGCAATCGGTATAACCATACCGAGACTAGACCTAGTATGGCACATTATTATTATTATTACTTATATGATATTATACTCCTTGAGGACTTTTTAGATTAAAAAGGACGTAAATGCGTTGCAACGCAGACACAGCTATTTTCCGCAATCTAGCTTAGGTTGGATTCATGGAGCGGTTAAGTAATTTACTTCTATTTTTTTTCCGCAAAGTAACACCTGAATCTATAAAGTTTTTTTTAACAGTCACTTCCTTCATTATACAATTTAAATGTTTACTGTCCCAGTGGTTGCCTAGATAGTATGTATACATACACTCTTATGCCTTCGTTGTCGCTCGAGACATTGTGAATTGTTACACTTTTATTCCATTTTGTCCATATCCGTTGTCATTACCTGTATCAGAAGGATTGGCATTTTCAGTGTTGAAATATGCTGATAATTATTAATACAAAGATCAAACACGAAGAAAAATTCGATCCGATCCGGCTGAATAACATCGCCTTCAGCATAACGTGCCGGACGCTCACCCAACTCAACTATGGAACGAACAAGCAAACCTTACAACTTTTTCTATGTGCTTGTTGCATATTTTTGTTTTTGATTTTTATCTTTTTTCTTCACTCAGCCAGGTTACCATTACAGTTACCAGCGGCTAAATAGATATTTCGCTTTTAGGTTTATTCAATACATTACTCCACTAGTTTGTTATAATTATTAACACAAAAACCGAACACTAACCGCTCACGCGACACATGCAGGCGTAGACGCATACCACACCTAGAGGTGCCGGTGATGATTTTATACCGATTTATCGGATATCGAAGTTATAACAGGTAAAATAACTAATATTAATTGCTATTTCGGTAACTACTCTAGCAAACCATGAAGTTTTTAATACCTGGGTCTGTCATTTAAAAAAAATAAACAACTTCAAAATACGTCACGACAATCGTGTGTGTTATTGTTTGGGCTGGTGATTTCGGTGTTTATTTATTGAAAACATACCGTAAGTAGCGTTTTTTAAGTTTACCCTGAATATAAATGTTTATAAACTATACTTTAAGGAGTAATTTCATGGTAAACGTTAGAACCACTCAAACGGAATATTATCATATGTATCCAAGTACACCAGAAATTTCATTAGTGCATATGTGCAAGATTTGCGGTATATTACTGCATTTTATTTGAGATGTTTTTGTTGGTAGTACTGAGGGTAGGTATTTATGTGTTTAGCAATGCAGAATAATAATTTTTATTTATAAAGACTTGTATTTAAACTGAATGCTTATCTAATTTGCGAAACCAAATAGCCGCCATTTTGCGGTAGGAGGAGCGCATCGCGTGAGCGGCTAACGCACAGACACGGTTTATTGAAAGCGACTGGTTCAAATCCAGCCGGATCGATGGGATTTTTCTTAGTGTTCGACCTTTGTATTAATATATATTTATTTCACATAAATTATTGAATATCATGCTAGTAAAACATCGTGATATTCAATAAACTTAATATTAAAATATGCTGATATCAATATGGCCGTTTCAAACCAAAACACTGTAAAGTCACAGTGTTTTGATTTGACAGCACTCATATTGTGACGGTGTGACCTCCTTACATCGTCATCCCACCTTTTTATCGCCTTTCTCCGGTTCCTTGCCACTTGTATTTAAATTTAAATTTTGAATTTCCGTAGTTCTTTTGCCTCGCAATCCGATTTTGTTTATTTCCATCGTCACTCCCTGCCCGATCGCGGCAGCAAACACATCTTCTCTTCTCTTATTTTTTTTGAGCCGTTTGCCAGTTACTAAAATCTATTGCACTATAAACATTTTAAAGATCATAAATATTGTTAAAACTAGAATAAATATTTATAAAACTGGATTTATTACCACTAGTTCTTTACCCTTTTGAACTCCTGAACGTTAAACACACTAAACGAGATCTGCGGTTGACAGAACATCCCAAGTGGCTACATTATAATGGACAGGGCGTGCCTATCCACCAACAGCATCAGCAGCGCTCTCACAATATGATTTATGTAGGCCTAATCTATACCATGATATTTCAACTTTGGAGGTTTCCGAGTTTTTGAATGAGATATTGAAAACTAAAATAAGCTGTAAGTTTTAAAATTTAGCAATTATTTTGACTTAACTCGGCGAAAACTCTCAGATCGCCCAAATGTCTCAGGAGAGGGGATTTACTAACATTTGTCGCCGCTCAAATTTAACAATAAAAAAACGACATTCTATCGTGTCGAACCATAACACTGCAAGGTTCAATACAGTGTTTTGTAATTTCATAACAATAGGAATCTTTCGGCTGTTAACGAGGGAAAATAAATTTATTTGTTTTCAGTAGAAATAACTTACTTTCCAAAGTAACATTAATATGGCTAGAAAGATTTCTTTAATATCTAATGTATAATGTAACTTAAATGTGTCTTTTTGTGTTACTACTTAAATCCATTATGCAGCTTTTTCTCAAAGTGCTGTTTTTGATATTACAGTGTTATAGTTTTGACACGGTAGTATAGTTCTGTAATTTTAGAGGTCACGATGTCCTTAATTTAAATAGATACTACGGGATTCCATTTTCATATCATTGTATCTGTAAGAACGATTTTAAAATCTACACAACATAAACTCAAATACGTTTCCAAATTTGGTTATACTTAATCATTATGGGTACAGTCATGAAAAAAATATAGAAAAGCGATAACTTGTGAAAATACAAGTGCTTTCACTAGCAAGCTTGTGGATACATCCATTTTGCCGATTATACCCCTCCCGTTGTTGGCCGCAAACACCGTTAGCAAGCAATGTACGCTGCGCTCGTCAGATTAGGTGCGTTACGTTGTTGTGTTTTATGTAATTTACGAGTCGTCGAGCTGTTTTGGAGCTGTTAGTGAAATTCTCGAGTGAACACTGGCGTGGATTTTTACGCTTTGCCAAATACTAGAATAGAATGGAAAAGAATACGTTTATTTGCCAGAATACAGTAATTACATATGTAGGTCTTAAGTAAAAGTAGGTACAATTCAATTCAACCTACAAGCAGATGTACAAATATTAATGGGATTTAATGTTTGGTCTCTACAGTTTCTGATTAATGTAATGAATTTGTAAATTCTAAGTATTCTTTATTACTATAGAAGCAATGCGTCAAAAGCCAAAGAAAAGTATGTCCTTATAACAATTTAATTTCGTTTGGTGTTTATTGTAAATAATTATACAAGTATTGAAGCAGTTATTCTTATAAATTACGTTATGGCAACGAGGTACTACTTTATGGTACCATGCCACTGTATAGTGCAAACAACTAGTTTTAATACTTTTACACATTTGCACTTATTTCTAAACTTAATAATCTTTACGCATAAAGAACTTGTAATGAATTTGTAAGAAAAGAGTCGGCAGTCGGTATTTTACGAAGTACCTACTATTCAAAACAAAAAACGACCTGTTGACTAAGAAATTAATTGAAAATTAGAATTTAGAAAAAGCATTTAGCGCACCCGTAAGTGGTACGATGGACCAAGATCGTTAAAGTTTAAAGTAAAAGAAGTGTTAATGGTTTTATTACCCTATTGTAATAGAAAGGATAAGCCGTTCCAATAGATAACATTCATCAGTGCAAATAATATTTCTTCAGCTATATCACTACCGCGTTTCTATAAGCCTCTAATTTGAAGGCAACCTAAAAGTGGTGGAAGATTACGAGCTCTCTGTTTATAACCAACAAGGTTAGCAACGAAACTTCGAAGCGCTCCCGGAGTTGATAAACACGAACTAAATGCAACTCATGTACGCTCTGACTTCACGCGTGTCTTGATGAGGCATTGCACATATT